CCCCCCCCCCCCTCCTGATTGGCTAACATTTGCTCACAATTGCAGTGTTCTTCTGTTTCAAGAAAAAAAAAAAATTGTAATGTGTGCTGGATTTGCAAAGGGCTGTTTACCAAAGGTAATTATGTAAGCAAGGCTATCTCAGTAGCTTGCAACCATGACAAAGTGTAGTTGTGCTTTTATCTGTGTCTAAGAGGCTGAATTTATTGCATGGGACAGGAGGGTGGGAGGGGAGTGTCTGGCAGTGTACCACAGGCCTGTTGACCCGGTGCATCTGTTGCTGGGGAGACCAGACAGCACTTCTGGTCTGGAGCTTGTGACCTTAGCTGATGACATGCACTGAGGTTGCAGCCAGATCTCTGTCCCCAGGAGCTAAACTATGGAATAGAATGAGTAAAATTTTAGCCATGATAACAATATTTGTAAGAACCAGGCCGTTGTACTTGAGACATTCTCAGGCCCATTGCAGGAAAGGTTTGGGGATGGGAGAGTGGCGGTTTAGGTCCAGTGCACAGACATAACAATTGAGTAGATGGAGAAGAATGTGGTTGTGGGAGGGAGATCATTCAAGAAGCCACAGCTAATATTCTGCATTTTCCTGCCATTGGGCCTGGAGTGTTTTTTCGGTATTGGGACAAACAGAGCAGAAGCTCAGTATAATTGGTTTGAAGGTACCACAGATTCCCAGAATAAAGAGAGACAATGTGTCCTATGTTTACAAAAATAAACCACTTCCAAACAGCGAGACAGTCTGGCAAGCATAAAGGCTAAACTACTGTCATTCTGTTTGACCCTGGGAATTTCCCAAAGCATTTTCAGCTCATTTCTCTCTGTTTGGAGTTTCAACTTTATTCTTTCATTGACTCATTCATTCAGCAGAGATTTCTAACAGATTCCAGGGTCTCTGACTCCAGCTAAAGGAGGAGTCTCTGCCTGTGATAAGCCTGGTGACCAGAGAATGATCGTTTGTAAGGGTTCCTTTCTTCTGTTTCCTTGAGAGTCTTTACCTGCATTTTGGGTATTTTGGATGACAAGGTGAAATTTGATAATTTGCAAGTTGGAGAGAGATAAGAATTCTTTCGGAAGTTATAATGTTCACATTTGGCCAATGCATTCACGTAATGAAATACCCTCTTAATCCCCACAGTCTTGTTGTTATGTTTCTGTTATGTCTGAGCCTTTGACCCCAGCCTCCCAGAATGGTTGGTGAGGTGGCCTGCCTGGATGTCACAGTGAATGGGAGGTACAGCGTGGTACAGTCCAGATCTTTCCCACTCCCATCATAGCCAGTTCTTTAATCTTCAGAGATCGAAAGGAGCATTGGATTTGCCTGAAAGCAACTGTAAAAGATGCCTGTATATTTTGTGCCTTCAAATTTAGAGTGGGAGGTAGGGCCTGGGATGAAGAATAGGTGCTGTCCTCTGCTGTAGCACTTTCTTTCCTTTTGCATATATTGGTATTTTTAATAAGTACGTTTTAAAACTCAAAGAAGCCCTCACTTCCTTGCTGTGGATCAGATCCTTAAGCATTCCTTCTTGTACCCGAAGAACCCTTCACCTTTCAAGTAATTACCACTGGCTTTGGTTTGGTGTAATGGTGGCCCAGGGCTACTGGGAGGAGTTAGTCTTTAACTTTCTATTTTTTAATTTTATTTTTTTCAATCCTCACCCGAGGATATTTTTTCCATTGTTTTTCAGAGAGAGTGGGAGGGAGAGGGAGAAGGAGAGAGAGAAGCATCAATGTGAGAGAGACACATCAATTGGTTGTGTCCTGCACACACCTGGCCAGGATTGCGGATAGAGCCTGCAACTGAGGAACATGCCCCTGGCCGAAACCGAACCCGGGACCCTTTAGTCCTCAGGCTGACGCTCTAACCGCTGAGCCAAACCGGCCAGGGCTAACCTATTCATTTGACCATTTGGTGGAAAGAAGAGCTTAAGTTTACTACTAGTTAATACCTTCAGATCAGTGTTCTGAGTGGCCTATAGGTGGTTTTAGTAAGCCATTCACTTCCCCCTTGTTAAGCTGGGAAGCTTTCGACCAGCCCCTCCCAGCACGGTTGGCAGTGTGCACTGCCAGTGTGTCTAGCACCCCTGTTGTTCCCGAGGTAGGTTGTTTCAGCAGCAGTTGGACCCAGGAGACGGCCCGGGCCTGTGCCCAGCTCTCCATCTGTTCCAAAACACAGGAAACTGCACTCTTTGCAGTGAGAAAAAGATGGAGAAGGGAACTGCAGTAAATGCTGCGAGAAAACCCCAAGGAGAGAACCCACTCCTCAGGGCCTCTGGGTGTGCTCTACAGGCACCTGACCTGCCAGGGGAATTGGTATGTTAGCTGTGGTGGATCCACAGGACATGGCCCAGAAAGCCCTTTGTGATCATATGTAGTACAGAAACCAGGTGATGCTTGGGAGGTTCTCTCAGGCCTCTGCTGACCCTCACAGAAATGCAGAGCAGACCTTACAGTTCTGGCCATAGTTCTTTGGTGAACCCGGAGTCCCTCAAAGGGGTAGAAAGGAGGGAGGGGGGCACATCTGCTGCCTGCCACTTATAAGTTCAGGGGCTTTGCTGTGCCAAGTGTCCTTCCTGCTGTCCTGTCTCCCCAGCTCCCCTCCTCTGCCATGAGCACTTAGCACAATGCCCTAAAATCAGAGAGAAAACGTGGCCTATCCTGTGTGCTGAGTGACACTGATGGCAGCTTTGTTTTGTAACTCCTAGGTCGTGACGATGGCATAGTAATCAAGGCACCTTCCAATGATCGGGAGCGTCTGTCTCCGTGGGTGCCAGCCCGGGCCAGTGGCATTGTGTGGAGCTGAAGGGACGTGTCTACCTCTCTCTGGAAACCTCTTTCTCTCTTAATTCATGAGCCAGCAGGATGCGGTCGCAGCGCTTTCAGAACGCCTTCTCATAGCTGCATACAAAGGCCAAGCGGAGAATGTGGTTCAGCTCATCAACAAGGGCGCCAAGGTAGCGGTTACCAAGGTAACAAGAGGGGGAAACCGCTTTAGCCATCCTTGGGGAAAAGCCTCCTCCTTAACCATTGTCCTCAAAACTGTCCTGTTGGGTTCGAAGCTTTCAAAGAATTGGCTTTTTCTCCCACGCCCCCCCCCCCAGTGATGGAGGTTTGGACAAAAGGAAAAGGGATTAAAAACGCTTTCATTGAGCTCTTTAAAATGGAGGAACTCATAATTAGCATTTGACAGTCTTTAAAATCACAGTGTGGCTTTTTCTTACCTACTTCTTCAACCAAATGGACAGGAGAGCTCTCTGGAGAAGTTGGGACACAAAAGCTTATTGGGTAGAGCATTTGTTCGATAATCTCGTTAGATAGGCCTCCTGGGGTGGTGGACCGACTTGTGGACAGGGCATCCCTCAGTTATGCAGAACCTCACTGTCCCCATCTGTACAATGACAGACTTGGACCAGACTACCACCACAGCCTCTATGGGCTTTGATTTCATATGGCTCAGTGAAAATGTGTGGTAAGTGTTGGAGGACATTGCTCACCAACAGATAACACCATGGTAGACAAGAGAAGATAATGGGCCAAAGGGCAGTTTCGTTGCAAAGCTAAGCAAAAGCAGGCTCTGCACAGTTAAATGACAAGTTTAAATACATAGACAAAATAACGCTGGTGGCAAACACTTATTCAGCACTTAGCATTGCTCTAAGCACAGTCTCTAGAAGAGGTTCTCTTTTCAGCACCTCTTTATCAATGAGGAAACTGAGGCACAGAGGGATTTAAGTTACTTGCTCAGGGTCCCTCAGCTGCTGCATGGCAGAACTGCAAGTTGTACCCTAGAGTCCACCCTCCAGGCCACCCTGGGGGAAGCTTTGGAGAGAGGCAAAGTTTAATTTTCAAATAGTAATGTCTGTTAACTTCTGGCCTCCTGTGGAAAAGATTGGCCAGCTCACATTCTTAGTTATTCACATGTAGTCTCTGTAGTTCATATTTCCAATGTGTACTTTTTCCAGCACTTCCAAGCAGTTAATTCAGTGCTGACACTGTCTACCAGGAGATAACATTGGGTCTCACAGGTTAAGGGCTTGGTCCCACAAGACTACCTCTACCCCTTCATATGCCAGTCGCAAGTCCAGGTTGTCACCTTTGCCTCTGACTAATTGGCTATAAATCGGAAGTTCCCATGACCCACTCCTTGGATTAGATTAAATTGCTAGAACAGCTCACAGAACTCAGGAAAACATTTTACTTACCAGGTTACTGGTTTATTATGAAAGGATTTAACTCAGGAGCAGCAAGATGGAAAAGATATAGAGGGCAAGATATGGGGAAAGGGCACAGAACTTCCGTGATCTCAGCATTCCACCCTCCCAGCATCTCCCTGTGTTCACCACCTCAGAGTTCTCTGAACCCTATCCTTTGGGTTTTTATGAAGGCTTATTAAATAGACATTATTGGCCATTGGTGAATGACTCAACCTCCAGCTTCTCTCCCCTCCCTGAAACTAAAAGTTCCAGTCCTTTAATTATGGTTGATTTCCCTGGCAACCAGCCCCCATCCTTAGGGGTTTTCCAAAAGGTACCTCATTCTCATAAATTCAGGTGTGGTTGAAAAGAGTTTGTTGTGAATGACGCACTCCTTTTACCTATTTTTGGCTCTGGAGCTATTTGAAGAACTGATGACAACACTATTATAATAAAAGATGTTCCCATTGCTCTTATCACTTAGGAAATTCCAAGGGTTTGGGGAGCTGTAATGGAGACTAAGAGCCAGGAATGGAGACTAAGAGCAAATATATGCTGCTTCTTATAAATCACAATATCACAATGCTGGTCTCTAGAGTGATAGAAAGTCTTGGACTACTCAAAGGTCACTCATTGTCCTAACTGCACTCTACACAAATGTGGTGACTAGGTTGCTAGGTGGTGTGGAATTGAGGGTGAAGGAAACCTTAACTCCGACCCCTGTGTGATCTACCCATAGTGCTTCAGGGCCCAGGCAGTCACAAATAGGAGAAAGGGCATGGGCTCTTTAATTAGGGTTCACACTCACACATTTTAACTCTGCTCTGTTTGCTAATTGTACAAGTTGCTTAACTTCTTTGAGCCTCAGGTTCCTTATCTGTAAAAAGGGGATAGCAATACCAACCTTTCAGGGTTGTTATAATAATCACATTAAAGCACATACCTCATAGCCTGCAAGTTCTCTTTTTAAAATAGGCTTCTTCATTTGCTGTTTTAAAAAACAGCTTTATTGAGGTAGAACTTTACATGCCAAAAAATTCACCCATTTTAAGTGTACAATTCAATGATTTCTAATGTATTCACAGAGTTGTGCAACCATCGCCATGTTCTAATTTTAGAACATTTCTATCACCCCAGGAAGAAATTTTGTATTATTTAGCTGTCATTTCCCATTCCTACTCCCAGTTCCTGGCAGCCATTAATCTACTTTCTGTCTGTATAAATTTTCCTTTGCTGGACATTTCATATAAATGGAATCATACATTGTGTGGTCTTTTGTGGCTGGCTTTTTTCACTTGGCCTAATGTTTTCCAGGTTCATTGTATTGTAGCATCAGTATTTGATTCTCTTTTACTGCAGAACAGTGTCCCACTCTATGGATATGGCACATTTTTGATCCAGTCGTCGGTTGATGGACATTTTGGGTTGTTTCCAGTTTGGAACTATTATGAATAATACTGCTGTGAAAGTTTCTGTACAGTTTTTGTGTGGACATGTTTTCATTTCTCTGGATAGATACCTAGGAGCGGAATTGCTGGGTCCCATGCTGTATTCCAGAATGGTTGCACAATTTCACATTCCCATCAGCAATGTATGAGGGTGCCAGTTTCTCTATATCCTCACCAAAACTTGTTATCATCTACCTTTTTATTTTTTTAACATCACTTGCTTTTTAACAGTTATTTTTTATCAAAGTGATGCATGCACCCAGGAGCTTTAAAAATGTAAGTTCAAATACTGCTGGAAGAGCCTGGGGTCCCACCCAGGGCAGAGAGACCTATCTTCTCAGCATGTTCAGGCCAAAGCTCACAGGAGGGGTGTGACTTGACAAAAAAGCAACTCTGGAGCCAGTTTGTGTGGAAACCAGCCTCAAGGTCCACCTGTCCCCACTGATCTGTGGATTTTTGTACTTGAAAAGATGTAGTACCAAATCCAAAGAAGGAGAAAGGAAATAATAAAACTTAGTGCAGAAATGAATGAAATAGGAAATAGAAAAAACTTACAGAAAATCAATGAAACCAAAAGTGGGTTTTATGGAAAGAATGACAAAATAGACAAATCTTTAGTTGATTGCTCTAGAGACAAAGGGCAGTGATCCTTCTGACAGCTGTCTGAGGATCTCTTTACTTGTATCCTAGGGATGCCTCTTGCCACTTTTATATATGTTGATTTTCTGTTTTCTGGACCCCAATGGCTTTCTCTTTCTTGGTTTACTACCTTGTTTTGATGTGGTACACCCTCTAGTACAAGTGCTGTCCAACAGAACTTTCTGGAATGTTGAAATGTCCTATGTCTGTGCTGTCTAATAGGGTAGCAACACATGACTATTGAATACTTGAAATGTGGCTACTGAGACCGAGGAACTGAATTTTATTTATTTTTTATTTTTTAATCCTCACCTGAGGATATTTTTTCCATTGCTTTTCAGAGAGAGTGGAAGGGGGGAAAAGAGAGGAGGAGAGAGAGAGAAAAGAGAGAGAGAGAGAGAGACAGAAACAAACATTGATGTGAGAGAGACACATTGATTGGTTGCCTCCCGCATGCACCGGGGACCAAACCTGCAACCAAAGTATGTGCCCTTGGCTGGAACTGAACCCTGGACCCTTCAGTATGTGGGCCAATGCTTTAACCACTGCGCCAAACTGGCCAGGGCTGAATTTTAAACTTAACTTTAATTAATTAAAATTTAAATGCCACATGTGGCTGTTGGCTATCATATTGAATAGCATAGGTCTAATGTCTTCCTGAAAATGAGTGTATGGGAGAGATTGATCAGTTTTAGACATAGTAATCTATTGTTCCTTTCTCTCCCATATTCTCCCAATGTAGTTATATCACAATTTTTTAACAGATCCATATGATTATGTAAATGCTGTTCATTGGTGAGCCAGTAAGTATACTGTAATTACATTTCCATTCTTTTATAACTTGCTGTTTTTCCTAGAGTTGATCATTTTTGCCAGAACCCACATCACTCTTACATGGGTGGTGCATATTTTCTGAACTTCCTAAGAGAAGGAACATGGGAGAGAAAATGTTTTGAGAATCTGCATGTCTGAAAAAAAGTCTTTATTCTACCCCCTCAGAAAATTGACAATTTGATATGAAACCTAAGATGAGAAAGAATTATTTTGCCTCAGAACTTTGAAGGCAATGTTTTATGGTTTTTGAGCTTACAGCATTGTTGTTGGGAAACTCTGCCCCTTTAAGGCCTGCCCATTCAGAACCCAGCTCAGGAGCCACCACCACCAGGAAGTCCACCCAGAGAACAGTACCCTGCATGATACTTGCTGTCCTCTCAGCGGATGAAACACTTGCTCTTTATTTGTTCTATGTCTATCATTATTGGATTCTGCTCTTTGGGTGCTCAGAACTCCCCAGCAGAGTACCACTGTGACCTGGGTCAGAGTTTCTCTTACATTTCTCTGTGTTTGACACAGAAGAAAAGCACTGGAATTTGGAATCCAAAGACCTAGGTCAAGCACCTGCGCCACTACTTATTAACTACTTGTTGATGTAGGCTAGGGGTTCTCAACTTCTGCATTATTCACATTTTTGGGCCAGATAAGTCTTTGTTGTGGGTGATTGTCCTATGTGTTGTAGAATGTTTAGCAGCATCTCTGGCCCCTACCCATTAGATGCCAGCAATACTTCCTCCTGCCTAGTTGTGACAACCAAAAAATGTCTCCAGACATTGTCAAATGTCCCCCTCTCTGGGAGAGGGCAGCAGTATCACCCCTAGCTGAAAACCACTGATGCAGGCAAATTTCTTCACT